TGTCACTGCCACTTCTGAATCTAAAAGTTTAGATGACTTATGAACTCTTCATTTATTTCTGTAAATTCAGTGATGAGAATTGCTTTGCTAATGATTTGCTTAGAGATGAGTCCTTTAAAGAATGAACAAAGTGAGTCCCTATTCGAAATAATTCTTATGCTCTGTGTTCAGGAGAGAGAACAAGTGAAGCCAGCGAAAGATCTGGGACCTGGAAAATCTTTATTCTAATCTGATTCACTCCTTAAACTGTAAATTCCAAGGGGTAGCTTCAGGCATGGCTGAAGCAGCAGGCTTAACACTGCTGGTTCCCAACAATTTCAACAAGAGTACCAGGGCTGACCTTCATTGGCCTGACATGGGTTACTGCCCAGTTTTGAACCAATAACAGGTCACTGAGAAATCTAATGCTCTGATTAGCCAGCTCTGATCATGTACCATACCTGAGGCAGGAGGTGGGGTCAGCTTCACCTAGACCACTAGGCCTCTGAGTGGAGGTGAAGTAATTCTGCAAAGCAACCCAAACTCTGTAACCCAGAGAAGGAAAACGGACGCTAGGCTGGCCATAGCTGCCCACCACACAGTCTTTAATCCATGATAGCTATTATTATTGTAAAACCATAGCAGAAAGGTTAAGCCGACATTTACTAAACACTTGGAAGGGTAGGGAAGGCTTTGTGGGACATCGTAAGGTCTCCATAAGTGTTTGTGGAAGGAAAAATGTGTGAAAAAACAGAAGCATACATTCAAAGGTAATCTTGTTCTATGGGAAAAGAAAAGGCATCGGAGGGAACGAGGGCGCAATTTGACTGAGTCTAGGAAACAAGCCAGGAGACAAAGGATAGGGATAAATGGTACATTTCTGAGGGAGCTCCCTAGAGACAGGGCTAAGGGCTGTTTAATTAACATGTAAAACTGCTCTGGAGGAAGGGTGTATATAAGGAACTCTCAGGGTTTACTGATGACAGAACTCTGGGAGTAGGGATGGGAAGGAAGACGGGAAGTTCTCATGAACCTGAGGAGGTGGGTAAAGAAGTGGTGGCTGAGCTTTAACGAGGGGAAGGCAAGAAGTGACTCTAGGGGTCAGCTTCTAACTACTGCCCGTGAGGTTGAGGAACTCAAGCTACTGCTCATGGCCAAGGAAAGGACCTGGAATTTAGTGTAGACGGTTTCTTGAGAACTTCAGCTCAAGACAGTTCCTGTTTCTAGACAGGAACACAGTTGAAACACTAAATAATCGTTTGAGGACCAAGAGGCCCGTTAAAGAATGATGTGTTGGCACACAGGATACATGCACAGTTCTGGCCCATTTTCATTGAACATAGAGGAGGTCTGAGAAACGGCCATTAAAATTTCTGAAGGGCTGGTACAGAGCTTGGATAACAGGGACAGGAAATTTTTAGGGTCCAAAAGGCAAAGATTAAGACAGAGCACTCACTGAAATATGTAACCCTGAGCAGACGAAATGCAAACTTACTCATCAAATGTGGAAATTCTGGGGAGGAAACTTGGGTGACAGGAAATTTAATCAAAGGAAGGCCTGAGCCTCTGTTTTTCCTCTGTGTGGTGGAGAAAATAGTGCTTAAATCACTATTGTAATGAGGACTGAATGAGATCAGTTAGGTGACGGTGCCTGGCACAGAGGAGGTGCAGGTAAAATTAAAGCAATCTGGAGTCCCCATGGGATTCTCAGTGACATGGTATTGTCGGCAGCACATGGGAGCTCGAGTCAGGAGACATGAGTGTGAGTCTGGGCTCCAATCCAGTCTTCATTTTCTCCATCTCTAAAAGGCAAAAGCAATACCTACCCCACGGGGCTATTACGACAATGAAATGTGATCCTGCATTCATTCAATGACTGTTTATTGAACGCAGACTACTTGCCAGACGGCAGGCTAGGTGCTGGGTGGGGATACAATGATGAATAAGGAAAAGTCTTGTCTTCATGGAGCTCAGCATTTAGTAGGAGGGAAGGACAGAGGATAATTGCAAATTGAATGACACTTACTTTGAGGGGGATGGCACTATGACAGTGCCAAGAGGCTTTGAAAACGGTAGTGCACCAAACTAATATGATTCACCACTGCACTTGTATGCATTTCCTATCACTGCTGGAATAAATCACCACAAACTTAGTGATTTAAAACAACACAAGGGGACTTCCCTGGTGGCGCAGTGGTTGAGAGTCTGCCTGCCGATTCAGGGGACGCGGGTTCGTGCCCCGGTCCGGGAAGATCCCACATGCCGCGGAGCGGCTGGGCCCGTGAGCTGGGCCCGTGAGCCATGGCCGCTGAGCCTGTGCGTCCGGAGCCTGTGCTCTGCAACGGGAGAGGCCACAACAGTGAGAGGCCCGCGTACCACAAAAAAAAAAAAAAAAAACACAAATGTATTATCTTATAATTCTGGAGCTCAGAAGTCAGAGATGGATTTTACAGTCTGCGTTAAAAACAAAGGCTACGTTCCTTCTGGAATATCTAGGGAATAACCTGTTCTTTGCCTTTTCCAGCTTCTAGCAGCTACCTGCATTCCTTGGCTCCTGAATGCTTCACTCTGACTTCTGCTGCCATTGTCACATCACCTTCTCTGTCTCTGACCCTCCTGCCTCCTTCTTATAAGGACCCTTGTGATTATATTGGTCCCACCTAGATGATAACCCAGGATAATCTCCCCACCTCAAACTCCTTAATTCAGTCACATCTGCAAGGTCCCTTATGCCATGTTCGGGAACATATTCACAGGTTCTGGGGATTGAGATGTGGACATCTTTGGGGGGCCATTATTCAGCCTACCACAGCACTCCTGGGCTATATAGTGTGAAATGGGCTACCCTTAGAAACCAGTAAGCACACTGGCTACCTTTGAACACCAGCTTGCTGGGTATTCTATTAAGTCAAGTCTTGAGGGAGGGGAGCAGAGTGGGTATTGGAAGGCTGATTGCAGGTGCCCCCTCAGAATACATTGTCACCCGGTAGATCCCTGTAGAGTCATAACGGAAACACTAGGCAACAAGTGAAGGTCCTGGCTGCTGCCATTCTGGAGCTCTGAGACCTCGGGCAAGGATATTACTTCTCTAAGAAGTCCCAAACTCCACATAAGTCAATGGGGACAAATAGAACTACCTGGAAGGGTTGGAGTGAGGATAATGAAAATATCATCCATGAATTCACCTAAGACAGTGCCTGATCCTCAGTAAATGGCAATTTTGGAATGCCTCCTGAATTCACCCCTCCCTTTCTCTTGCCCCTTTGCTGTGGCCACTGCCTCCGTCCAGGACTCTCAGAAACCATCATCGCTTGCCAATCATGTCTCATGTCTCAGCTTGGCCGTAGTTAGGAGCAACAGTTTTAAACCCCAGCAAACGAGCCCCTATTAACCATGAAATCTGGAGCAAGTCTCTTAAGCTCTCTAAGCTTCAATTTCCTCCTCCGTACAATGGGGACAAAACCGACTATGGAACCAGGCTGTGCCGAGGATTTAGTGAGATGATGAATGGGAAGGGCTTAGCATAGTGTCAGGCACACACACACACACACACACACAAATCAGTGTTATTCTTCTCAAGAGGCCTGGCCTCCTTTTAGCCACACTGAAACTCACTTCTCCCTGAACCAGGCCTTGAACATGTATACCTGAGGGGCACCGTTTATAAACCCTTCCCTCCGCCTCCGATATTCTGTGTGTCCTATACTATCCTCCTCATGCCTCAGTTCTACTCTGCTTCTCAGTAACTTGTGCAAGCTTTACTAGCCTTCTCAGTTATGACTATTTATGCAGGCCTCTGCCTCGATACTGGACACGAATTCCCTGAGGAAAGGTGTTCTTCAGTGTAGTCGGTTGGAAAAGTACACCCCTCCTTGCCTGGCCTCAATTTCCTTATTTGGAATGAGCCCATTGGACTGTGACGGCAGAAAGGGCCCTTCCAGCTCTGAGATCTTAAACTGACAGAACTTTAAGTAGCAGGGACCTGGTAGATTACCTAGTTCACCCCTATCCTTTTCCAGAAGGGGAAAGTGAGGGCCTGGTAGGGCCTTCGCTTAATGCGCTTCTCTCTCGGGCCTCCCAGGCAAGGCTCCCCCGAGGGCATGCAGCGCGTTTTCCTAACTAGGCAAGGGGAGACTCTCCGGCGTCTTCAGGGCTCGCGGCGCCGGAAACACGTGTGTGCTCACCTACGTGTACACACGTGAGCACACCTACAGCAGCAGGGGGCGCTCTGGCCGGCAGGGGGCAGCACAGACCCGGTTTGCAAATACCCGGCGCAGCCCCGAGGGAGGAGGGCGTGCTGCAGTCCCGGCGGTGGTAGCGGCGTTGGCGGTGGAGGCGGCGGCTATAGGTGCAGCCTCCCAGGTGGGAGGCGGGGGCTGCGGGCGCAGGAACAGGCGCCTGGGGAGCGGGCGTTCGGCTGGGCTTCCTCGGGCCTGGGCGCGGCGAGTGGGAGCGAGCGCGCCAGGAGCACGCAGGCGCCCTGCTCCGGCTGGCCCTCGGCCGGCGCGCGGCGCGGGAGCAGCCCGCAGCCCGCCCCCGCGCCCCCCGCGCCCCCCCAGTCCTCGGGCCGCCCGCGGCCGGCAGTCGGGAGCGGCCCCTTGGCGGCGAGCGCAGG